ATTTTATCAGGCTTTGTCAGTGTAGAGACCTACTCATTATTTTCTAGACACACGAAGCTTCGGGGTAATCAATAGTCTCCGAAAAGCCAGTATATAGCAGTAGGGCAACACGACATTCATCCCGATAGCCTGATGTGAAGTGCATCACCATACCTGGAACAATCCTAGTTTGAGCAATTTGACAATCAAAACTTAATGTTTTGCCCTTCGGCAATACCACACACATTAGATTGTTATCGTACTTTAAGAAGTCGAAGCCGCAATTGCTTTTAAATCTTTTACACATCACGCAGTACGCCACAGCTCTCTATCACTGCGCGGTACCATCCCAGAATACCAGACTTTATGTACATTTCCTGATCTTCATGATAGGGAATTGGAAAAGAAAAAAGAAAATGCTCTCTTTTCTAAATAAAAGAAGATACTCTTCCAATACTTCTCTTAGGCTTCCAAGAGGAAGTTGCACAAGTTATAGATAGCAAACCTTAAAGCCTTCTTTGCCGAACAGCTGAGCAACTCTAATAAATAAAAGCCTAAAAGCAAATCGCTGGAAGTACCACGAAAAGAGGAGGGTTTTCGGTTTATCTACAGCCCTCCAAAGATTCTCATACTTCCGCTCCAGTTCAAGCAGTTACGATTAATCAAAAACATACTTTGACTTTACTATATCCAGCCCTTCTGTCTATCTCTTCAATCAATCCATCTGCCCATATGCGGGATTGTAAATGACATTATTAGGTGATAATTTCACACAAGCTCTCTTGCGAGAGATTAAGGGTCGACGTTATTTAAAAAAAAAAAATTGAAAAAATTTTATTAAACCTAACTTTGCCAAGCAATGACTTTGAGTCATTTTTGAAGTTGAACAAAAATTTTTTAATTATTTGAAATATATCCCACAATATGGTGTGTTTATGCACGGCTTGCTTCAGTACATAAATGAATTTAAATTTAAATGCATTTAAAATAAAAAGATTTTTTTTTTTTTGTAAGTGACTGAAAGTCACATCGTGGCATGATTCGTTATAAACAAACGTTGTAAGATTACAATTTAAATTCTATCTTGATAAGAAATCGGCGTGGAATTTAACACTCATATCATCATTTTAATGAATTTTAAATACATTTTATTATCGATTACCGGAAGCAATATTAAATTATTCGAAAAACAAACGTCGCGCAAAGATTGACTGGAATAACTTTTGAGATATTCCTTAAGTGTACAAACCTTGGGCGGCTGTAATGAAAAAAAGAGCCTGATAAGTAAATGAAAACTTTTACTCACACTACACTACGCTTGTTTACGTTATAGCGCACGCTATGAAAGAGTTTTCCGTATGGGAAAAAGCATGAGATGACTCTCCCACTGCAGCAACAACAACAAAAAAGGAAACAAAAAAATCAATTGTAAAATATCAGGCGACACTTATGACAGGCTTCACTGCTTATATAGATTGTTGGGAACAGTTTGTTGAACAATTTGTACAACATTGTGTAAACATATTCTTTTTTTTTTCATAACTATTCTGGCAGTTTCTTACATAAAACAATTTTCGAAAATAATTTGCATTTTTTTATCGTTTTTCTTTTTTGGGGACAGTAGAGCAGCATAAGGCCATAAAATTGTTCAACATTTTTACGATTTATTAAAATAAGAAATATGACAGGCTTAAGTCGAATCTCTAGCGCTTGTCATTTTCTTTTTTATTATTTAAATTCTTAACATAGAATTTTATAAAATAACATAAGAGCAAGTGATCGATTGATAGGAAAGATTCAGATGAAATATATTCCCTGAGCAATCAATAGCAGCAAAGTGTAACTATGACTTTGAATGACTTTATTATCGTAGTACTTTTTTTTTGTGATCCTACGGAATGATCATAAAAAAATATCCTCGACAAATCGCAGTTCATTTGCAAGTTCCACAACGAAAGGTAATCGATTTGGTTATCATTTTTCTAATTATATAAACTGTTTTTGTTTTAGAAATATCTTGTGCTGAACTATCAAGAAATGGCTTTAGTTTTAATTAAATACAGATATTTAATAATAATAATATTATTATTATTTTTTTAATTAATTAAATTTTAGCCATATATTGCTTTCGTAAACGGCCACGTATCATACAATCCGTGACATATATAGATTTAAAGTTTGATAGAAGTCTTGGCTGGAATAAATGCGGAAGAAAGACATCATTATTTCAATAAGCAAAAATGTTTCCATAACAACTCATAGCAGGTTTAGTAATAACGGCACTAAAAGTATAACACGAAACTGCTCTCAAGCGGCTAGCTTAAGATTGCAGTTGTCTTATATAAGTACTTTTGCGTGTGAGTCTAACAGAGAAGGTCATTAAAGAATCGCTTTAAGCCGAGAATATAAATTTTCTGTTGGTTACTTTGCATATTTTCATCTTTTAATCGTTATTGACTATCAACAATTTGATTTTTTTTTTTTTTTTTGCTCAAATATCATTTTCGCTGATTATTCTACTAATACTGAAGATTGAATTCCAATTATGTTTTGTTTGTGTTCCTTACTACGCTCTCTTAAAAGTCTTCTTTGCTTAGCATGCAAGAGAAAAAGCCTTAAGTTTGCCACAAGTAATGAATGATTGAATTCCCTACCACAAACGAATGCCAATCGGAAAACAGTCGGAGTAGTGTAGTTGGACGGATTTGTTTGAAAAAGCTTTTATCTATTGCTACGGTAACCAACTTCTTATTTTATTATAAGAGCAAAAAGGAAGATAACAGGCTTTTTTCCAAGGATTGAAAGAACTCGTTGGCCCTGAAGTTCTTGGTGGAAATAGCGATTTCTAAGCGCCGGCCATCCTTGAATAGTAGACTATGATGCGAGCTTTTACAGAATAGATTTTGTACCGTACTCGACGCATAGGTTATTACCTGAAATGTGTATTTATCCGATAACTAGAGAAGAAAAACATTGTAAACATTGCATCAATAAGTGAAAACAAAGAAAAGTAATGGCCGAATATCTCGTATCCTCTACCTTTATCAAAGAGAATAAAAAAAAGAAAGAAATGAAATTTCGATATTCTGTAAAATTGAATAGGCGTAGTCCATTGTTTCTACTTTTGCACATATACCACAGAATGTATGTGAAAAGGGCAGTAATGAGGAAAGAATTCTCTTCCTATGCAGTTTGTTGACTCACTTTTGGATCACTTTGTTAATATCAAACTGCCTGCGCAAGAAGTTGCAATGACTTTACTTAATTTGAAGATGACTTTGGGAAAGAAGAGGAAACGGGACGGACGGACAAAAGTGCATCCGTCCAAACGAATCAAAGGACATTGCTTGTGAGGGAGTTTAGTTATTAAAACGAATTTAAAACATGCGATCTCTGTGAACGGAAGCTCTCTGATCCTTTTGTAACTGGCTAGCCTTTCTTGGAATCGTTACAAATGAAGCGATAAAACTAATGTAACATCATATTCTAGTCATGAATTTTTATAAAGATAAATTAAGAGATAAATAAATGAATATTCGAAGCAAATAAAACACAAGTGACTGCAATAACTGCAAATAAAAGGAGAAATTTTATGATGAGTTTTATCATTTTAACCGCCACGCTTTTACGGTTTTAGTTTCCCTAAGAGTCTCTAGCTTAATACATAACTTTGATTTAGCTTTCGCTTGGGGTGGAACGAATTATTATAAATCATTTTTTATTGCATGCTTTACAAAGTCAAACGTAAGTCGTTTATGTATAACTAGAAAATGATTGATTTTGTTTTATACGCGATATCATCACCGGATGCAATCTATATATATATTTAACATTAATTGAACCTCATAATCTAAACAATATTGAGCCAGATATACTCAGCGTAGCGTTATTTATTTCAAATGTCATCAGTTATTAGTACATGCGATCTATAAGTAATTAATATAATTAATTTTCTTACCCAAAATTATATTTTATTTCGCTATGTGACGTAATCTCCATTTAGTTTAGTATAGAGAGTTCTAAGCTTTTTTAAATCTTTTCAAAATAATTATTTGTTTTCACTTTCATTTTTTACAAAAAAACCATCTTCTCAAATTTACAAACAGGTAAGCGTCGCTGGGTACCAAAATTTAAGGCAGCGGAAGTAGTCCGCGTCCTATTCCATCCTAAGAAAAGGCGCATTTCAACTCATATTTGCCCTTTTCTTTTTTAGGCGATTCAATGACACTAAACAGTACACGCCTAGTATTGTTAGTCACTTTCGACGATAGTCCTATTCTTTCAATACTTCATGTGATTCCGGTTTTTTCGATTCTTAAATACGTAGGTATATCTTCGGTTGCCATTTTTTTTCGTGTAACAGCTTTTTTAAAATAAATCATTGCACTGTTAGCGATCACAGGATCAAGTTCCTTTCTAACCCCGTTTCAATAGGGTTCGTATTCTATTCGCGAAGCTTCGCGAATTTCGGTAAAATATCTCAAAAATATACGACCTGTAGTCTGGACATAATCAAGTATGAATAAACACCATATGGACAGATAGAGAGAAAGTCAAGCTGAGATCAGAAACAATTGGTATAGTAGAAGACGGGAGTATCGTAAGTCCTTCCAACTGTCTGCATGAACTTGAAAGACGTAAGTCCTTCCAACTGTCTGCTTCAACTTAATATAACCCAGGCCACAAGAAATTTAGGCTATGAATACTCAATATGATCGATTAAACATAGAAAAATGCGTTAACTAATACATGTGTAGAAAAAATGAATAGCAAACAAGAAAGCAAATTATGATTAGAAATTCCAGCATTAAACCGCAAATTCGCATTGCCGAATAAATTAAAACAAGACAAGAGAAGACGAAGAAGAAATACCTTAGAGGAGAAGTCCTAACATTTATATGCATTTAAGGTGTCTAACCCTTTATTTAATATTATTAATAATTAAGTGATTATTTTGTTTATGTTTATCGCTGTGTTCATAATAATGCAATCACCTCGCTTCACTCTCTTCTTTTTTGTAGGAAAACTATGGCATTTAATGCTCATGGAATGCGATCTCTCGTTTAAACCGCATGTATATACAATAATAATATACAGCCGTTACACATACTTATTAAGGTAAATATAAATGTTTGCACATAAATAAATGTTGATTTACCATAAATTCGTGTACAAGTTTAATTATGTATAATACACACATGCACACACAAATAAACTATATACGCATTATTCGTTTACCGTGTGTCGTGTATGTTTGCCTTTACATAACCCCATTGCAACTAGGTGGGCATTTGGTCCATGTTTTAAATTAATTTAATTACAATTTTGGGAATTTATTTTAATTATTATTTTAGTTATTGCAAAATATTATAATTTTTTATTCTTTTTCTTCTGCTTCGATACATGGATATACAATTTCATATATTCATTTCAGTCATTATTTTCAAATGACTGACCCCTATATTATACATTATGAACTCACGCTATTTTTCATTTAATTAATTTTTTTTATTAACAAAAAAAAAAAAAAAAAGCAAAAAATGAAACTAATTAACTCGATATGAAAATCGACCCTAGGCAAATATTAACAAGTGAGAAGACTGCTATCTTTAGATTGTGTACATTAAAGCGAATTTTGAATGCCCTTCAACTCAGATAATTATTTACTTCCGAAAATAATTAAGTTCTATTCCCCTTAGAGACATGCTTTTCTTTTTTGCATCAGGTCAAAATATCTCTTATCAGAGACAAAAACAGTCCCCCATAAAAGTTGTTTGCTGGCTCACAAGGAAATCCTAATGACCTTTTTTTGAAATTGGCGAAGACTAAAAGTGGCCTATAGTCACTTTAATCCACGTAAATTTGCTTAGGAAAAATTTGGGTTATCCTTGAACAGATTAATATTAACAAAAGTCTCTACAAACTTGTATGACACAACTTCTGTAAACGTGACCAACAACAATAGATTACCAGGGGTTAATCCGATTGAATGCTTTCGATGATAGCTTCCTAAGATCTTATTGAAGTAAGTCCAAAGAGGAAAATGGAATAAAATTCCCAAAATTGTCAATCAATATGTTGCGGTCTATGGACCTTCGTAGTCATTGAATGAGTTCGACAACTAAAATTGACACTAGTGCTAACTGGGCGAATGGAAAGAGTTTTATATTCAAAATAACACCGGATTCACAGATAATAGTCGCTTGGGGCGAGGTCTTGCAAATATGCTACATGTGGGCAATATAAGTAAGCGGATCTCAGTTGTCTCGCTGCCTTTCTTTTAATGTCGCCTATATCTTGCAACATCATAAACTAACTCTCTCTCTCTCTCTCTCTCTCTCTCTCTTTCTGTCTATATATGTCTTATGAGCAGTCTTCGAAGTACGCGTTTGACTGTTACAAATAGAACGTTGAATTAAGTGTAGTCGTACTGTTTGATAGTGGGTAGAAAAAAACAAATAATTGTAAACAATTATCGTTGTAATTAAACAACAAAAAAAAAAGAAACGATATTATTTTACTGAAAGTATTAAAAAAAACCTGTATTCATGAGAAAGACATATGGAAAGTATGGGTATATTGTGATTATATATTACCCAGGATGATCATATATGCAGGTGAATTTTGAAATAGACAGGTTTCACAAATGTAGATTAAACTAATCCGTGTCAGTTTTATAAAAATGTATACTACAGTCCATCGGCTAATCCACTTGGAATCAGTTGAGAAATATTAACGAAGAGAGATGGCAGACGAACGATCAGCTTGGTGTATGCCTTATGCCTTATGTTGTCTGCTAAACCTTTCATGCTTAACAATAACTCAAAACATTTGCAAATCCAGTGGAGAAAAAAAATGTTCCTAGACGACACTCTTAGTTGATATAGAAAGGATGGCTGACTGTATATTTTCAGCTAAAGTAAGCTTGCCCACCTTTGAAGGCAGCTCTAAAGCAGTTAGATGAGTATCTTTTTAATGAAGGTGCATATGGAAATTTAAAGATTAGATGAGTTGTGGTAATAAGTTCTTACTTAGAAAAGAAGAGAGAGAAGAAGAAATAAAAATGAAATTTTTTTCATTATGACAGTAGGAGGTTTCATTTCTTACCTGTTACTCCCTCTATTGAAAAAAAGTTTGTCTTTCCATGCGAAAATTAATTGACAATCAAAACAATTGGTTCGGTTACGCCAGATTCGTTAGAGCAAAAGTGATACGAAGTTCAATTTTACTACACGTAGTAGTAGTACGTCCGATCATTGAACAGAGTATTTCGAGAATCCATAGAAAAGCTTGTTTTTCAAACATAAATCCCCAACGATTCAGTTCAGTTCACATAAATGCAGTACAGTGTGGAAACCAGTGGAAGTGTTTCTTTTAAAAAGGGCTTGTCTTGATCTTGGCTTTCTGTTTGCAATCCTCCTAAGAAAATGTCCATATGATATTGTTTTGAAAATGCTAGGAGATTAGATCTCAAATTTACATGTATATACAATCAAGTTAAGTAATTTAATCATAAATTTGTGCCGACAAGCAAACTGAAGCCATTTTTGCTCTATGTCACATGAACATGAAGAAGGTGGGGACGATAGATCCCAAAGTGCATTTACTTATAAATCAAAAAAGATTATTGGAATTTTTGCTTAAAGTGTTTTTATACGAAAATTTATGGTTAGAAATGGCAAAGATACTTTCACCCGATCAGCTATGCCCACTACGAAAAAACACTATGAAAATAGGCCAAAATTAATTTAACGGATGCTACTTATACTTACACATATTGCAATAAACTTAAAATCTTCTTAGATCAAACAATGTAATAATGTCACATGCAATCATTCACAGAATAAGAAAATTAATAATAATTATTATGGTTTCTCTTGCAGTTTCCTTACGAAATTTGTCTGCGGACATAATATAAGCACATGTATGAGCACTTCTTTGCCGAATATAGTATAGAAAATTGTTCAAATCTGCAAAAGAAAGAAATATTGCAAAGATGGTATTTTAAAGGGGGTTTCCGCTAGCTCTCAATTAATATTAATATTTGTAACTAACGGTTATTTTTTTAAGAGAACTATATCTCCTTCTCCTTTTTAAGTGAATTTTGCATAATCCTCTAATTTAAACAAAGCGAAATAAAAATTGATTTTTCTATCTAAAAGGAAGAAACGTCCCCACAATAGAGCTCTTGAGAATAAAGTGTAGCCTATACGTTTTACAATAAGGATGAAAAATTACTTTGATTAATGTCCCGATTAATGCAAATCCCATAGAATTCATAGTACGAGCCGTGAGGTAGACAGAATATGTCTTGATACTAAAAAGCCACCACTAAGCGTTGTTTCAATTGCTTTATGCTTCGTTCTTATATAAATTTTCTATTTGTACTCGTTCATATGCGTGTGCTTTGTCACCTTTGCATTTCATGCTTGTAATTAGAGATGAACTTTTGATATATGATAAATAAATTGCTTTGTGACTTATGCTATCCTTTTTTTGTTTTTTAATTTTTCTTTTTTTTTCTTTTTATACTCTTCATTACTTGTGATGCAATATCCGAAAAGACGTAAAATAGACCCGTCGATTGATTCAGAATTATTTTGTGAATACATCTAAGCTTATTTGTCCGTCTGCTTGTCATCAACCATTCATTCGTAAGGAGACTTGAAGTTTCCATACAATCATCGTAAAGCAAATCCTGTGTTTCTTTTCCTCTTTACCATTCACGGCAACCGTAAAAATGATGTGAGATAAAAATTAAAAATTCTAATTTAAAATGTTAATTTTTCCTTCTATTTTCATTGTTCGTTGTTCATTGTTCATTGTTCATTTCGTTTGTCTTCTTTTCAATATTATTTAATAACTTTAGTAATTAATCTCCGTTTTGTGCTCGTTTAGCCTTTAGCATTAAAATCACTTGTATTGGGGTTATGTTGCGGCACATCAATTAACCAAAACATTTATAACAAATATATATATATATATATAAAGGCAAATAGATACATGTACACATACATACCAAATGCATGAGATTCTCTACTAGAAAGGCAATGAAACCTTACACGACAAAACGTGTATAGCACATTGGCTGAGTTGTGTGCGCACTTAAGACGGCAAAGCATAAGAAAATATAACTGCAAATAATTTAGAAAAGTTTAGTCAAGAGTTAGGTGAAGGCTTTATTTTATTTTATTCATTTTTTTTCTTTTTTTCCCATAGTCTTAATAACAAGAAGCCTGACTACCAAAGAAATTATGAAATTATAAGTTATACGGATTAGTCTAACGGTGAAAAAGACAGCACAAAAGTAAGAGAGACACATAAAAAAGATGCAAAAAAGAAAGAAAAAACAACTTTGTTTAACTTAACTATTAAAGCTTATGATGGTCAAGGATAATAAAAGTAGGAATCCATAGAAAAGCGGAATATTTGAAATTTTCATCATTTAAAAATTTTTGCAAGAAATACTTTAAAGCGTTTTGTATAGAAAGCTGATGGGGGATGGGGAATGGGGAAGCATTCTTCTCCTTCGATTCTTGACCATTTGCAATATCGTTTAATACGCTAGAAAAAGTAGTCGCTTAGTGAAAAATAGATTCAGTCAAATAATATTTTGAAATTTTAAGGTTCGTGGTAGATTGGATCGATTATATATCATTATAGGGACACATTTGCCATTGTGCAAAATTTTGTTGAATTAATTTCTGGCCTACCATGAGACGCTTTTTGATCGACCATGTTAAGAGTCCTGACCGATTTTGGCGTTCATATCGATTGGTAGCAAAAGATGTTCGCTCGATTTGGGAATCGCGATTAATTAACTGAGAAAAGTCTTATTTTGGTAGGATTTCTGGCCGTTTTCAAAAAAGATTTTAGTTAACTGTGTATACTATTTTTTATATTCCAATGGACATGTTTTGGTTGAACTTTAAACGATTCCTCGTCAATTCCGGAGTAGTTTTTGGTCACTCGCTTGCCTAGTCGCGGTTGATACCAGCGTAGATTTTCTTTGAAGTGAGAACAAATATTTGAGCTGACATTAATCTAATCACTCTCCGTACGATTTGCGGATGTTTTTTACAAGCAAATATTTTTGCTTATTCAGAAAGCAGACCAAT